CGCATTCAGGAATATCAAAGCAGGTGAGATCGTTATAAACACACTGACATTTTTCGCAGTCTTTGATCAGCACATCATTCGGCTGTAAATGAAATGAATTATTAAAAACGCTGTTGAATTTTAAAGATTAATATGGTGAAAAGACAAAAACAATTGTAAACCAATTATTAATGAAATATCATCCATAAAAATGACTTTGCATTAATTATAACTTCAAAAAATTAAAACATGATTTTAGCCTAAAATGAACTTTTATATTATAAACATGTTAGCCAGCTCGTTGGTCGAAATTAAAAAATTGAGAGATTCCAAAATTTAACATGAGAATAACAGGAAAATTGCTAAGTAATATTTAGTAACCAATACAAAATTTAAAAAATAATGGTACATTTTGTTTTGCAATCGCTAGATGAAGCATGCATTTAAATAAGCAAAGACTTTTCTGTTTTTATAGATGGAGATTATGGAATCCCTTCAATATGCAGCAAGTATTTGTTGAATATCGCATTATTTTGAAAGACTCTGCAGCATTTGTTTCCTAGGACAGCTGATGGAATGAAATAATTCTTTGGCCCTCACAAAACTCGTTATCCTAACCCCTCGAATTTCTTCTTTAGCAATTACATGAAAAAAGCCTTTATAGTGAAAAGGCTGAAAAACCTATCCATCTAAAGCAACGATGCACAAACTTTCCAATAATTCACTCATTTAGGAAGTTCGGTTCATATTATATTTTTAGGTTCTCTGTTAGTTTTCACCTGAATTTCTTTGTTTCTCCATCCATTGTTCATACAATGACAGCTGAACGACTTGTAGTCACTCAGAAACATACATCACTCTTTGTCGAGAACCACTGTATTAAAGGTGCACCGGCACATCTATGAAGTTCAGTTTTTATATTTCAAAACAATTCTCTTCATAAACAGCGTATCATAGTTGGACATTTAACCATAATTTTGACTTTGGCTGCAAAAATTATCCAAAGGCTGCTTCATAGGTGAATTGATTTGCCTTGGGCTTTTCACATTCACAAAGATTTAGCAGGTTTATTTAATGATTTTAAGTCCATTCCCGTCCTCCTAATGCCTTATAAATTCACTATCTTAATTAGTTATTTTTGCAATAGATGGCTTACCTCCTCGTTTGGTACTACCAGAGGTATAAAAAATCGTTCAGTGGTTGCTTTCCTTATTGCAGTTAGATTTGGCGTGAAGGGGCTGCCCTCGCTCCCTATTTTAACGTCGCAATTTCCTGTCTTTATGTTGATCAGATCGCCTGGCCAGTAAAAAAAGTAGCGCCAGGCAACTCTGATTAAAATCCAGTTATACCAGTGCTGTGCTGATAGGACCACGTGTTTGAGACTCCTTCTCCTTATTTCTTCTTTAGGTATTCTTTCTCCTGTGAGGAGGACCTTTAGCTGCCGTCGAAATCGATGGTTTCATTATACTTACGCTAAATACAAGGTTGTTTTTACGATTTTGATTAAACTTCATAAAGTTGCTACTAAATGGTACGTATAGGCACCGCTAGGTAAATAATATTTTTATTTGTTTTAATAATCAGAGAAGCAGGTTAAAATCCTCCTTAAATAGCAACGCCCAACACCTATACAATAACCACTCTTTTCCAATTAAAAAGCTGATACTTAAAGGTACTGAAACTTTTTGAAGGAAACCAGTTCGTGACGGTTTCTCGCATGGTGAACACTGACTAAATTGGATAGAGATATCAGCACGTTTATGACAGCTATGAAGGTGTTTCCTTTGTGGCATCCCTATAATTTCATTTCGCTGAGGACGTCTCACGTTTGGAAACTTGAATTTAAGGAAAGAATCACTGTTGCAATAGGATGTTTCTTCTCGAATCTGGACTGAAGTTAAACGCCATTTCGATGCGTACGTGTATTTTTAATACTGAATCTTAGAAATAATATAATGTTTTCGGAATCTATATGGGCTAATATTTCGAATAAACATGCTTTTGTGAATACATCAATGGCAATTATTACCATGAATCAGATTAAATCATTCATAAACTTAAATCGCTTATTTTCCCTACCTTTCCCTATTGAACCATGTTTCTATTAGATTTGCTGGGAACATCGTTATTGAAGATAAAGAGATAACTTGAACTTAATAGTTTTGATGAGTGCTTCGTTTAATTTAATTTGTTTTAGTTATCTAATAGTTTTGATGACCTTCATGATATAATAAGGATATAATAAATTTATTTCAGCACACAAAGTAAGTCAGAGAGAATCATCGTGCTAGAAATAATTACAGCAAACGAATTAATTGGCAAATATTTACCTAGAATGTTGCATAAAATTAAATTTCAAATCAAACAGTCAAAGTTTCTTTTCAAACGTTACAGAAGCTTTATGTGAAATCTATATCACGTCACACGCATCTAACGTGTAGTCTATTTCTATTTATGTATACTGAAGCATACTTGGTGTTTATATGTGGATTGGATTGGATTGGATTATTTAATTATAGCAAAGCACACGAGGGCTATCTGCCTAAAGAGATTATATGTGGATTGAAATCCGTGTAACTGATGCGAAGACAAAGATAATACTGATTTTTCAGATCACCACGGGAGAATGGTAACAACGATAATTTAGCCCTCCTTCTCACAGAAATCTCAAGTATTGATGTCTAACAACTTTGAATCTGAGGTAAAGATTTTGTTTAGTTTATTCTGATTATGCCAAAGTACTCGAGAACTCAAGCCCCGAACTAAACTACCAATGTTTGGCGACTTTGCCTCTCAACTGCTAGACTACACATAGGATGCGTGTCGCATGAAAAATAAGGATCTCACACAGAGCCTGTATAATATGTGTGCAAAATACTTGGATAGTCGAAGTTTGATGTGATATTTCCCAGTTATTGTTATAAACAAGCCGATTCTTTAATGACTTTGAAACAAGACGATTCTCTTGTGACTTACCCTGTATATTGTTATGGAAGATTATATTTTACACATACAGGTAGTCACAAAAGTCTGCGTACAGACTAAATTTTAAATTAAAAAAAAAACACTTAACGCTAGAAAAATGTTTTAATCTGCATTTTTTCTTCTATAGTAAAATTTAAGCTTAAAAAAAGTAAATAATCATGTATTACTTTTTCAAAAAAATTTTGCAAAAATCAGAAATTCCTATAAGTCAACGTACATTTCAAAAAAGCAAAATAGTTTTTACACTACTTTTGAGGATATCCTTTATTCTTCAAAACGCTTGCAGACGTCTGGGCTTGACGAACTAGTTTTTCAGTGTCATCGACGTATTTCGCTCATCTTCCGCATTACTAATAGCCTTTTCGCGACGAATATTGTGTTTCGAATTCTTTTCCATTTTGCCACAAATTTTCGATTGATTGGTCTGGTGACTGTGGAGGAGAAGCAACTGTTTTGAAGTGTGATAGAGGAATATTCTTCACAATTTTAGCTGTATGTTTGGGTCGTGTCTGTTGGAAAATAAAGGTTTAGAAAGTTTAAATTCGGGCACTTCTTGTAGATTTTCTCAGATATCCAGTAAACATATATCCATGACTTATCAAATGTGAATTTCCAACTCCTTTCGAACATACACCCCCATACCATCACACCGCCACTCAGTTTGACAGTTGGATTTAAATTCTAAGATTCATTCTGTCTGTTTTTCCATACATAGGGTGGCATTAACTTTAAATATTAAATTTACTTTCATCTACCAAATTCATGTTCGAAGTCCTGCGAAGTTAAATATGTTCGCAAAGCATTCTTTCTTTCTATTGTCTCGGAATGTAGGCTAGACTAGGTTTCGTCATGATAATCGACTTGCAGCCTTTTGTACAGTTTCTAGGAATTTCGGTTGTAGTTAACAATTCTTTGCAATGCTGCAGCAGAAAGTTTAGGATTTTATTAATTCGAAAAGAATTTTTTTTCTCTCTGCGTTAGCTTTTCGGGCTCCCACACTGGTTTACAGCAAGACTACCAGTGTCAGATAGTTTGATTGCACACTAAAAATGGTTTCCATGGTTTACAATATAACGAGAGTTTACTTCATCTCTCAATTTCATATTAGTTGTCTCGTACTAAGGATTTCTTTAATTGTTGTCATTTCGTCAAGAAAATAGAAGTAGAACTTCCAATCAATGTGAAATTTGCTTCGGAAATCAATGACCTTGAAAGTGAACCTTCTTGGCATTTCAGTTTAAGTTAAAAGTTAGATAGAAATCCCCGCCTCTCGCTTTGTAGCAAACTTTATTGGCTTTGATTCTGCCACTTTTTTTTAAAAATTAGTTCATAAATTTTTAGATATGAAAATATACAGTTAAATAATTTCATGTCCTTATTGAACAATATTTAAAAAACAAAACTTTAAGAAACTACCCTTTTCGCACCTAAAATTTGGATTTGATATTACTTTTCTTGATGTATGCAGACTTTATTGACTAACTGTATATTCAACTATGAGCCAAAGTCTGGGGTAACCAGACTTTGGCTGGTAATCAGCTTCAAGCAGATGGCAGATATCATTAAACTTCTACACAGACGTTTTTAAATACGTGCTAGTTTATTGCAAAAATTTTAATTATCTCCTCGTAAGAAAGGAAAAAAAAATGCAGTTATAATATATCATGTAATGGCGGTTAATGTCATCATTCGAATTTTGTTATCCAATTGGCGCTTGTATACTAAAACATAGTAAATACTTCTCTTATTGTGATCAACAATTTTGCTAATATAATCGAAGTATTATCGAAGAAAATTGTTACTGAAGTAAAGTCGCCAAATAAGAAATAAGGTCAAGTATGATCAAAATAGTAGATTAGAACAGGTTGCTAAGTACCAGAAAACTGTCGCCAGTTAAGGTATAATGTGCCAAACAGCTTGTCTTTAGCAAACTATTTAAAATTAGACAAAAAGTAGACTTATAAAGTTAAGTTTTATACTTCAAAACAGCAACAGCAACCTTCCTAATGTTGCTACTATATAGTACGTATTGGCACCGCTAGGCAAATAATATTTTTGTTTGTTTTAATGATCAGAGAAGTCGGTTAAAATCCTTCTTGAATAGCAACGGCCATCACCTTTACTTGGCTTGGCTTGGATTGGTCAGCTTTGGCTTGGATTTGGAGAATATCGATATTGAGGATGGACAGTCATAGGTCCCTCTTCTAGTAGAATTTCCCTAAAAGCATTTACGGCAAATTAAGATTACTTTTTTGCATAATATGAAATTTTACATTTGCGTATGCTCTAATTAAAATTATGGAAAAGTATTTATTTATATGTTTCTTGCTGTATTTATATCAAGTTAGTCAAATTCCATTGCTGTCTTGAAGGATATTTCTTTTCTCCGTTCAATGTTATTAAAGCAATCATGGACAAATGTAATCACATTAAACTTTGCCTACTATAAATTCATGTTTACTTCCTTGTACGAATTAAAAAAAGCATTGTAATCACGAAAAATTCCAGGTATCATATTTCAACGAAAATATCAATTTTGACAGCTATCGAATGCAATTTAACGATGTTTTTTTCGTGACATCTGTACGTAAAGACAGAATAAAGAACTCTTTGTGCCCAAACGAATTATAAAGTTGATTTAAAATAGATTCAGAAGAATTTTTTGTTGCGTCTGTACGTACGTACGTATGTATGTATTTCGCATGAATCAAAAACGAGTAGCTTCAGAACGTTGACATTTTATATATAGAACTACTATAACATGTAGTTGTGCACCTCTTATTTTGGTTGCAATCGGCCGCAACAATATATTCCCACTCTGTTACTTGGCTCAATGGGCTCAGATTTCTTTTATTCTTATATGTTGGTAACTTCTGCAATTTTTGCTTTAAAAATGATTGAATTATGTTATTCTTATCTTCCGGTTAAGGGTTTAATGCATTTAGTTAACCTGCATGTAATAGTCTTACAATCATCAACAATTTAATAGTTTAAATATCACGCTTAATAACAATAAAAAACAAAGTCCAGCATTAAAAATCAGCGTAAATTTTTAAAAATTTTTTGCAGTACTAGTTTCGATAGTACCTTCTTCAGCTGCTAAGTGAAAATGAACCAAATAAAGGGTGAAGAAAGATAAGATAAGGACAGAGAAAAGATAAGAAAAGTTGGACAGAAGTTAAGCTATTGACGCCATCTATTGATGAAACAAAAACTAAAACAAAATTTCTTTGAAGGCTGAAGGTAAAGATGGATTGCAATTGGGGTCATTAACTAAGCTTAAAAAAAATTACGCTGATTCTTAAGGTTGGACTTCGTTTTTGATTGTTATTCAGCGTGATATTTAAACTTAGTTAATGATCCCAATTGCAATCCATCTTTACCTTCAGCCTTTAAAGAAATTTTGTTTTAGTTCTTCTTGTTTCATCAACAGATGACGCCAATAGCTCAACTTCTGTCCAACTTTTTTATCTCTATCCTTATCTCTCTTCACCCTTTATTTGGTTCATTTGTACTTAGCAGCTGAAGAATGTAGCTCAAAAACTATCGAAATTAATACTGCAAAAAATGTTTAAAAATTTACGCTGATTCTTAATGTTGGACTTTTTTGAATTTAAAAGCTGTTTAAGTATGGGCTATGACTAATTTTTTAAACCACAGCAACCATATTTGTTTACATTTGAAACTTGGCAGAACGGTAAAATAATTAAATAATTCTTTCTGCACCTTCAGTGCCTTTTTGCCGAGTGGGACCAAAAGGAAACTTAGTTTTGTGCACCAAAAAATCTGCCTTCTTGCCTGTTGTCCGAATTGCTTGTTTTTGCGTAAAAACTGTAATTTTAATTGTAAAAAGTGTTTTTTATTGTTTTAACTGTATTTGGTGTTTGAGGCTTTTCTATATCTTTCAATTTTTAATGAAGATATTTTGAGTTTATATATATTTTTATCTTGCCGCGAAGTGAGAATTGAATTTATTGAATGAGAAATATAGCTCTAATGAAAATCGAGGAAATAAGTTTAAATGAAATGCACGAAAAATGCGTATAATTTAACATTCCGTGCATGGAAGGTCATGGGTTTACACATCAAATTTTTTATATTAGAAAGACGATCATTCTTAGAAAGGTTACTTTTGAAACAGTAATACTCACAGCTACGCTGGTAACAGTGTCGCCTTCTATAAGTACACAGGGACATTCATCTTTAGGCACACAGCTGTAGTAATCTCTCCACATGTTCGGAGGTTCGCAGTCTTCGACAGGACGACAACTGGCAATACAATCTCCTTGCGCACATTGTCCGGATAATTCATAAGCGAAAGATGAACACAACCGGTCGCACCGATAGGCGCATTCGTCGAATACTTGGCCATCTGGACAGGGATCTAATAACAAGCAAATGTAGCATTAATTTTCCTTAGCTTGGAGTTCGTATGTACGTGAGTAACTCGTTTGAAAGAAAATTTATACTGCACTTACTTTGGGTGGTTGTTGGCAATGGTGTGGTCTGTACTGGAGTGGTAGTTGCTAAAAATCCAAAAGGGAAATGAAAAGAAAATTAAACATAATTACAAAAAGAATGAAAATTATAAATTTTAATTATGAATATGAGTTATGAATAACCTGAGTTCCAGTACCATATGCGTATATTCTTCCAACAATTCCCAGAATATCTTAAATTAACTTTTCCGTAAGGGAATTTCTTAAAAATAGATGCTGAATGTATACCTTCTGCGCTTAAGATTTTACGATGTAATATAATACTTGCTTAAGAAAATACATTTTGATGAATTATTCTGAACACAGTTTAGCAGCGTCTTATCATACTACGTCAATTTCTCGCTTTCAGAGGAACTGAAAAGGGTTCAAATTTTAACGATTACCTAAATGGAATTGTTTCTCATTGAGCTCATAGTCCACCAGTCTGCTGTCGCAGTCTTTTTCTTTTTAACTTTATTATTAAGCATCAGTTTCCTCACATTTAAGTCGTATACAGTTCAACAGAAAAATTACAAACATTTTAAAAGCAAAATCGAAGCATATGCTTAGAATTAACGACGTTGTGTTAAGTGTTGACATAATATTCAGTTCATCATATCAATGTTCAGTTTTCTTAGTAAGATGGCTTCCAAAACTATTTTAAATATTTTTATTATTAACGTTTCATGTGTTAACTTTATTTATTAAATATTATGTTCCTCGCACTTACATAAAACTCAATTCAATAGCAAAATGACAAAATATTTAAAGACAGCATATCTTTAGAATTTCTGACGGACAGTCTCACGTGCTGGAGACAAAAATGTTTTTTTCCGCACAGAGTTGCTCGCTTTCAGTTCTTTGAGTTTGGTAATAAAAAATTCATTAACGTTTTACAAAATATGAAATATAAAATTTGGACTTCCAGGTGCACAGGTTCGGATGGAGGACAAGGTTATCCAAAATGTGATGGCTCTATTTGCCGTCATTTTTTCACATTGCCAAGAACAGGATGCATACAAACATGAAGATTCTTCATTATTTTTATTTCTTTAAAAATAAAACAGGGCGATAATATTTGGTGGCAACAATTTTAAAGGTGATTCGCCGTTTATAGTGGACAAAGTAAAATCCCAATTCGAGACTAATAGCCCATTGTAACACCGCATTACTAGCCTCGCTAACATCATTTTGAGCTAAAAAATGAACAAAATTACTGTCTTTAAATTTGATTTCTCGACGAAGTATATTCAGTCATACAAGTATTTCTGAAACGTCAGTATACTGCAAATGCAAAGAAATTAAAATTTATGAATTCTACCATAAATGTTTTCTTTTCGTGACTATTCATGATTACTAAAGAAGACAACGAGGTAAAACTTCTACATTCTTTATGAATCGCAACAGCTAATTAACTCGTCATTAATAAATTTCTGATGTCTTTACTGAAGAAATGCAAGCTATTTAATTCATTATAGTATTGCAGCAAAGGAAACATTTCGCAGGATAATTATATCTATATACACACTGGTACAAAATAATTTGTTGGCACATATTAAAAATTAACAGCAAGCTATTTCGTGACTCTAACTTGCGTGCTAATGTGCTCCAGATGTTTAGTCCTCACGCCGTGTTTCACTGGTTTATCCGTAATACCTGGGTGAGTTATGCTTGCTCTTGTGGTTCATCAACTAAGCTTCAGGAATGGTCCATTCAGTTTTCATCGAGTCGTTTTTCTTTGCTAACCATTTTTTAGTCCAGTCAGTGGTTCTTAATGTCTTATTTACCCCGAGTGCTTTTTATATATCGCACATATCCAGATTTAAGATTAAAATTATTGTGATTTCCAAGAATTTTAGTGCAAGGGAGCGGCACATAAATTTATTACACAGTTTTTAAATAGTTAAATAATATATTATTAAATTATAACCTTTAATGAGAAAGATAATGTTGCACTTCAATTATAAGTTTTAGAATATTAATTCTAATGTTTGAAACTTCCAGTCTCCATTATGGTTCTACGTTCCTCAAATGGTTTCTTTGCTTATTTTTAAGTAAAGTAAAGCAAAGCAAAACAGGCTGTTTAACAAACACAAAAAAGATATCAGGAGCATAAGATATTTCAGGCTATTAGGAACAAGTCAGACAAGGTCTTCCGTTAAGCGAATCCAAACGTCTGGAGAGAAGTCATTCTCGTCCAATAATTTTTGAGCACCATTTGTAGAAACGTCAATCAGTTGTCATTTTTCAGTTAATGTCATTTCTTCTTTACTAGAGACATCAATTAAGAATCCCGTCAACTAAGACATCAACTTAAACAACAGACAGCAAACAAAAAACAACTATTTCAGTTATTGTTTGCATCAGAGGACGGAAAATATTTATTTATAGAAATTTTGCTTCTAATTCTATATTTTTTTAAGAATCTGTAAAAGAGGAAATTTTACTCTGAAAGTGAGACTTTGTCAGGTCCCCTAAATAGATGCCATGGACTACTTACGCCTTTGCCACGGACTTAAGAATCCCATCTCTATGCAGAATTCTTTTAAGTAATACTCTTTACGTGTTTAAAATATTCATAAGATTGTTTTCGTATAAAATATGCATTCAATATACGCTTTTAAATGAGAACGTTTATACTTCCGAGACAAAATAATTGTTTTTACTTTTACTTAGTACACGGCATATGTAAACGAATTGCAGCTCTTTGCTTTTCTATTGTATCCGAACTAAACAAGCTTCGTTTAATCCTAAGAATTATTATCAAAAAGCTGTCTTAAAATATTATTTGCTGATTTAGTTTTGACAAACTTGGATGTGGGGGGGGAGAAGGTTTTATTAATTTGATTAATTGCAATACATGTATACATTTTTCTTGATGCATTTTTAAAAATTAAAATTGACATTTCTTTTCCTAGCATGAAAATATGTTTACCCAAACAAATTATATCTCTAATTAAAAATATTGATAAATTCGTATCTATTTAAACAAGTGGTTTTAATAGATACGAATTCTTTTCTTCTCATCGATCCCTTTTAAAAGAATGGTTTTCTTCAGCGACCTCTTTACATTTTCCCCTATAACATACAATACACAACATAATAATTCAAATAATTTTGCATGAATAACTAAAAGATAACAATTAAATTAAGAATAGAAACAAACATGTTGAAAAAAATGGTTTATCAAATTTATGTTTTATTATTAATTTTACAAATATAAACAACTTTTGAGAAACAATAACAAAAATTGTAATAGCACAAAAATTTGGATTTTAATGAATGGGATGGCTGAGTTTGATTCACTGTTGCCATTTGCCAATTTTTAAAAATATTTGGCATAAAATTGCTGAATTCTTAAAATCACCTCATTCACAAGCATTCAACCTGTTTCTTGTTTCCATTCTCCGTATTTTTTTAATTGTCTCTTCTTGTGCTCTGTTAATTGTGTTTTTCTTTTGTGTTTACATTTGATATTACATTTATCGCAAAAAAATTGGTATATCTAAAAATATTAATTATTTTTAAAATATATTAAATAGTTTTGGCATGTTTTTCCGTTATACATATATATATTATAGGATTTCTTCCTTACTACATGATATACCTTTATATTATAAACAATTAATTATCAGTTTTATTGAAAATTATTTTATAATCAATCGGATCTTGATTATGCTGATCAACTGCTGGTGCATATTTGGCTATCAACTACTTGATTATCATCAACCTCCTATTAAAACTTCATCGACTCCCCATAGTCAACAACGACCCCAGTCGGAAATCCCTGATTTAAAATAAGCATGAGATGTAGGCGTTACATTCACATGCGTACTGTATACTGTAGCAAGACATTTAAAAGTACAGTAAAATTATATTATACTAGATATTTGCAGGTCCTATTTTAAGGTTACATGTCTACTTTATTCTTGTTCGAAAAGCAAAAATTTGCGTAAATTTGCAATAAATTTTTAATTCGTATGAAAGACTTACGCGGATAGCACCAGTCATACATGCAAAGTACCCTGATTTCATAATCATAGCAGTTTCCAATCTGTTCATCGTTGAAACAACGAAAGCCTTTATGGACATCGCAGACTAAATTCTTCTGCTGAGACTTCAAATACGAATGATGAGTTCGTGATATTCTACATTCGATATCCACTAAATCCTTCCCGCCACACGTTTTATACAGCATCTAGAAAATAGCATATGAAAATTAATCAATCAAACTGCATTATTTAAAATCCGTAGAACTTATTGCTCAAAGCTCCATTTTGTCGGTGAAAAACAAATATGATGTATGCAAATATAATTGTAAAAATATAGTTTTAAAATGATAGCAAAATATGAAGATTAGATCATCATGCGAAAGAAATGAGCAATTAAAACATGAAAAATGACAACGAGCAAAATATTAATTCTTTGTTGAAGCATTATTTTAAGGAATTAAGTATGTGTATCGTCGTAGCAGCGGAAGAACAATGAAAGTCTAAATTGGCATATAGAATCAAACAGAGAATAAAAATTATTATTCATGCTATTTATTCATGTTAAAGACATCACGTGATTGCAACAGCTGCATACTTTTGTTATATATTTTTGATTCCGTTGAAACCTTTGAATGCAAATTACGAATGTCAACTAAATTATATCTGTGACAATAATGGAGAATCCCTCGGTAAGAAAGATATATTTCAGGGTTTTATTTCCGTTATTGCTAGGGAAATCGAAAAGGGAATGTAAAAGAGCAGCTCTTTTGAATTATTGCAGTTTCTAAAAGTGTGTCTATTCTATAAAAATGCAGTACATACATTGCGTCTGCGAAGTTTTAAAAACGAGTGTATACAAAATCAAAAGCTGAGGGGGAAATGCCTTCAATATACAGACCTTGCATGTTTAAATAATGCTTTGGTACGTTCGTATAGTTGCTCGATCCCTTCGTAGATTCATCTTTTGGAATACTGTTTAAATCTCTGGTTATATTTTCTTTGATCTCCCCAATACTGTTAATGATCTTTGAGGTGATATTTAAATTCTCTAAATGACTAATTCTAGTGCCACAGAGTTTTAGTGCCAAGTTATCCGTTTATGCTCGTTGAATCATGTTGTTTATTCATAGTACATTTCGGAAGCAAACAGAACGTAAACTAGGTTTTATGGAAAGAAAAAAATCCAGAAGCAGTCGATACAACTAATCGTATCTCTTTAACATCTAAATATCTATAGAAGATAATAAAATTATCGGCATGCTCTCTTGCATATAAATGGTATTCACACCACAAAGAAGCTGATAAATCATCAGTAGTTTTATGCATTTGTAGAACTTATCCTCTTGTTACCATTAAAACTATTATAAATAAATCAAAATATTTTATTCAAATGAGTTTTAATGTTAAAGTAAATTAAAATGTAGAATTTGAATACACATTATGTATATTTGTTATAAGTTACCTAGAGGAATGTAGAAGTATTTTTAATATTTACGATGAACTCTGCCATGACGAGTGCTTCCCGTAGACGACAGCTTTGAAAGAAACCAGTATGTCTGAGACTATAATTCAATATGAATATATAACATTACCACTTTAATAACACCACTTCAACATAAGACACAAATAATATAAAATCGTGAGTGCTTGTCTTACAGAAGGCTGAAAATATACATGAATTTTAGAAAGGCTATTTTTCCCAAATTTTAAAGCTTCAAAAATGCAATACCTGTATTTGACTTAAGTCTTCGATATCACCGTCGTCATTTTCTGAGGATTCAGGAGTGTCTAGATTTAGCCATGGAGTCCATCCACATTCCACTGGAACAGGCGTTACTGGAACAGGAGTAGGTGTCGTAGGAAGCAATCTTGTTTTCACAGGAGTCGTTGGTACAACGGGTTCTGCAAGTTAGTTCCTTATAAATTTAATTGCTAATTAAACTTTTTGAAAAGCAAAAAATCACACAGAAGTCGAAAATGAAGCTATTGCTCAGCATCTGTTACATTTAGCCACTACTTAAATTGCTAATTTAAAACACGCAATTAACACAGGAATCTTAATTGAAACTGAGAATCCTAAGTAGGTTGAAAAAACTTTAATTAAAGGTAGAAAACGTTTAATTTTCACCCGCGGACATGTTGATAATAAGAATTACCTCTTTTGTTAGAAATGTGAAGTAATCGGTATCAAATTGGAAAGGAAATTTTAATGATAAAAAACAAGAATTATCTTAAAATTGCTTCACACCCAAGAGTGGAACTGAGCACCTAGCACAATACATTGAGAAACAAACGTAACACCACTGTAATAATTTCTTACAGATTACACTTTTCATATTAAAAATTCAAATATATCTTCTATTAAAAAAATGCAGTACTTTCAGGACACCATCAACAGGAAACCAGCAGTTAAAGCAGTCTTACCGGTGAACAGTCTTACCGGACACAGACATTTCCATAGGTTTAAAGAGTAACTCCTAAACATTTCATTTCTTAACCTTAACTTTCGCTTATTTTTAATAATAATCAGGTGAAATAAGCTAGTAGACAACTCAATATTTTGAAAGTGATTATTGTTTTGTTTTTAATACATGCCTAAATGTGTAGACTTTCTTTGGGACAACTGTGTAAGATAAAGACATGTTTTAAGGTAATTCTAAAAGCTGCTTTACACGATCATATTTCTTGATCCAATAAATTGCCGTTGAATTCAGTTTTTAACCTGAAACTTAACCTAAACATATTACACATACAAACATAATATATTACGCTTGAATTGATACAGCAGCAGCTGAATGGCTAAAGTTGCTTTCGTTCATTGGTTCTTGAATAAAAGCTGCTGGACATTATGTGATATGCACAAAAACTTCCAGATTCTTTGATACAATTCATCGACGTGCAAGAAAAGCAGTTGACACGGTTAAATACCGAATTCCTTTCGATTTATTATTTTTATTTATTGGTCTAAACAACTAAATTTTGCAAAGTTGCCTTAAGCGGTATAAACATTATAACCGCTGAGTTTTAGGCGATTGCAGTTACATGACTTCGAAATCGAACTGCATGTTCTCATATTTACATATAATGACTTATCATATTACTACAGTTTATTCCCGGTAAACCGAGGAGGGGGGCGTATATTAACCGAGTCCTATATGACAGGTTAAGATTGTTGGTTGCGAAACGATGGAAAAATTACTATCAAAAACCATCAACATAAAACACTGTCTACAGGTTTGGCTTGGTTTATTTGATTATGACAAGGCGCTCGAGGACTATTTGCCTCAAAGTGTCTACAGAAAGTACAAAAAGGAAAAGCAAATGCATAGCATAAGAGGCATTGATAGCAGCTGATACATTGCTGTTTCAACAGCATTAAGAGCGCCCGCTCAAACAAGAGCCCTCGGTCCCGCCATCGGGCAAATGCCCAGCGAGCCCATGCGTTAAGACAGCCCTGAGTTCATGATGTAGTATTTAAGAGTTGCTTTTATCCGCAACATTGCACAATTTAATTATATGTAATCTGGAATAGATAAGCATTGCTTATCATTCTTAATGCTCTTTTGTAAATATTATTCTTTAATACCATTTAGAACTCAGCTTCTTCATTTTTTCATTGTTGTTCCTTCTTCCATTATTTACTTAGTATCCGATTAGAATCAACTGAAAGAGGAACAAGCTAATGTAAAATTTAAAATTAGGCCAAAAAACAGCAAGTTGGGTTCCACGATGATTTTGTATAAAACTCCACCGATTTCTAAGGCGATCAGACGCAAGTCCTTCTTCTTCAGGAACAAAAGAGTTTTGCAAAATGAGAGGACGACCGACCGCATTTAAACCAAAACCAGTGGACGGAGTAAAGCTAACACAAATATAGCGCCATCTGTCAAAGAAATAAGGAAACGTAAAAACTAAAAGCACTGAGTAGGATTGGTTTCGAATCAATGTCATTAATTATAGACAAGAATAAATATTTGTGATGCGGAAATCTTCAAGGAAATCCACTTCCCCACCTGAAGAAGAAATTTAATGGGTAATTTCTGCAGGACTAAAATCAAAACCATGATTAAGTGTCCAGTAATGATTAGCTATCTAAGATTTCTTTATTTCTCGTTTTTGAACATAAGATTCTTGTTCCTTGGGGCGAAATTTTAACGCTCTTTTACATAGTTTGTCCGATGTACGACAAAACGCACTGACATGATATGCTATAAATTAACCAAGAATTAAAATTAGAGATGGGATCTTTAAAAATCGAATAATGAACTTTACTGATGACGAAAAAAAAAATGATTTGAAAATTGAACTTCTGATGAATTCGAGAAATTCTTTCTGTAAGGGATTTTATAAATAGATTTGCATATTTGTAAATTTGTAAACTTTTCTAAATTGAAGGCGACGAGGATATCATAATTACTTCTAACAGCGAAATGTCTTTTTAGATGGAAAGAACATTTTTTAAAGCATTGTATGGATTTATATTTATTTTAAATAACCAATTTAGTTCAATTTTACGTTTTTCCCTATAAGCCTTCATTCCCTAATTGTCAATACCAAAATATTTAAATTTGGTAACAGGCGTAAAGTAATGCAAATTCTACATTGAGGAGAAAAGGTTTAAATACTGAGTTCAAGAAGGGAAAGTTAGAGAAGTTTCGGCAAGCGCTGTATTTTTGTAGTGTTAGCTAATAAGTCTGCATTTATTGCTGCTTAACGTGGCGTAACAGCTATTACTTTACTGCCACAAGATTTCGAAGCGGTTTTGAGTAACAAGAGTATCTGAGCCCTGTAGCGTAATTTCTACTACTTGTTAATATCTTCGAAGTTTTACTTTAGTTCTTTCTATTTGAGTGAGGCGTAGTGTGTTAGCGTAAAATCCACGCATTGTGAATTTTAAAGAGTTTAATAAAGGGTACCCTTCTCCTGTGTGGTTTCGACACATACTTCAGTTGTCACTTTAGAAGATACACAAGTAGATCTTACAGCATATATGAATTACTATGGAAGAAAATTCACTATCAATAGCAAACCGATTTTAAATAATTGATTTCAAGAGAAAAAGAAGATTGTATGACCAAATGACCGGATTAAATTACTTAAAACTACGGGTAATCGGACATGTACTGAGAAATGAGAAAGACAATAATGATGAGAAGAAAGATGACGATAAAGACGATTCGTGTAAATGGTTACTAAAACATTTTTGTTAATTCTAATGTTGGTTATTCATCTTTCCCGTGTTTTTAATTGACCACTGATTAATGATTAACCGTGGACTTTATCTCCGGAATTTCCTGATTAAACATGTGTGTACACTTAGGTGGCTCTTAATTGCATGTACCCACCCCAGATCTAACTAACTTTTATACTAACTTTTATGTTACTCGGTTCTCGGGCTTGTTTTCCCGGGGCGTATTTTTATTTGTTGAATGTTGTCTTATTATTGATTTATTTTTTTTTAAGCTGCATTTTCTAATTTTGTTTTTTTTTGGACACGGCCGGCTCGGTGGCTCCGTCGTCGTTGTTAGATGGGCAGCCATTTTCTGACATAGGGTTTTGTAAACCAGGTGGTCGGGGGCTTTGCCCGATTTTGGTACCCACCCCAGATCTTGAAAATATTAGCATTAAAAAGTAATTATACTTAAAATCTAAAAATACACATACCGTATTTATAAAAACAAAAATTCAAAATGATGCTAAGAGATAATTCTATAAAAGTAAAAACAGTAAAAGTAAAATATACTGGAGATCCTTATCAGATAGAACTAAATTTTTTGTTACTCGCATTTCACCTTTGCAGGCATGTGATTCCTATTTTAGCCAATTTTGAGATTTTTTAAAGTTTATTTACTATTCTCCTTTTGTAAATTTCGGAGCACATAGAGCAAAATCTCTCGTAAACGGGGACAACTTAGTCTAAATTTAACCCCGAAATTCAAGCCCAAGCGATGAAGAAAAAGTATATAACCGGTTACCAGTCTGAAGATTTAAACGTGGAACACCTTTTTTGCTATTTTTTGCACCTAACGTAACAAGCTGTATCCGAGCAATGAACCAAAGAAATTATTCCGAATATAAACTACCGATCCCTTTACATGCGTCTATATATGAACGTTCAAGGTAGTGTACATGATTGTTAGAAACAATTCACTTTTAAAGACGGCATATTTACTTTATTATTTTGCCTTTAAATATGAAAAGAACATTGCTTTAGGCCACTGTTGGTGTACGTTGTGGCCTATGATCATATTCGTAGATGACGAAGCAAATGACAAAGATTCTCTTGATTTTAAAAAATATCCTGCATCTGTGGCCGACATCTTAGAGTTAGTTACATATTTCTGGAAGAGAAGGTTAGTATTAGTGAAGAGGAGACGCAAGCTTGGGCGTATGTAAACAATTCTTTTCCTAGCATACTCTCCTAATATGAAGATGAAATAATCGGTCATGTACTGGGAAACGAGAAAGATGATGATGATGAGAAGGGGGATGACGATAAAGTCGATATTCAAAGCAAGATGGGTATGTAAAGGAAGTTGACGAAGAATTTCAGAGTTTCACAGGATCTGTCAATAACTATTTCAGAGTTTCACAGGATCAATATATGTATGATATTTTGAAGCTTCGTGGTATATACGGCGAATTTTTAATCGTAGGGCGACAGTCTTGTAAACAAGAAGGTATTCCAAGTCATGTACCATCTCACTATGAAATTAATAACTTTCGTGTAATGATGTATATGGTCATTTAAAAATGTTGTTTAGTTTTTTTGTAATATAAAATCATGGGGGGGGGGTGTTTTAATTTTAAGTAATCTGAACGATTGTCGATATCATTTATTTGGTAGCCGAAAGATTAAAAAAAGATGAACAGACCTCATATCCTGCAATTTCTACAGATACTGTGATGAAACATGAGCAGTTAAGTTCTCGAAATTTGTATTCCGTTATCCGAAAAAATCCCTTATCCTAAATCCGCGAATTCCCATTCCACCGGTTATGAGAGATTTTACACTATTCTGCTAAAAATGAATGCGATATAGTTTATTTCTTTTAAATAATATAATTATGGTGTCTTAGATGTTATCAAGATAGAATCACCCGGCAATGAGGAATTTCATTCTGAATCAATTAATACTAAATTTATGATCAGCCATTGATCAACCTCTTTCTGTAGTATAGACCTAAGTGACGTTTTAAACATAAAAAAAATTGAAACCATTTATATTTCTTAAATTAAATAGAATGAAAAAGAAAGGAAAATTCGTTATGAAAATGACAGATAACACTTACCACATGCACAATAAAATCTCACAAAGAAATCTGGGCATTTATCTGTCCGAACATATTTATTGCAGACGAAACCCACATTCTTAGAACATTTCAAGCCAAAAGTGTCCAGCGTTGAGTAATCGACAGTCTCGCCATTTATTTTAGTTTTACATTCTATGTCTTCAACTGTTCCACCAATGCAGACAGTATAAAGCTCACGTATCCTTTCTAAGCTTTCGTCGTCTCCAATATCACTCACATCGGGGTTGTCGGTGTTAAAATATTCTGTCCATCCTGACACACAGCTAGGTGTAGTGGGTACTGCAATTGAAATAGTTCATGCTTAGGTATTATAACATTATTCCTCCTTTCGATCTTAAAAAAAGTAACTACATATAATAATTCTCTCTAAACTGCGTTATTTCAAAACTAATCTTTCTCTCATGATACTTACATAACGGTAATGACGCAGTCATTTATATAACGAACTCAGCCAACAATAATTTAAAATTTTGGGAACCAAAATTGGGATGTCCTCTCCCCTTAGCCGGTTTAAGAGTCTTCATCCAGCTTTTATTTTCGTAATCGTTGGTCATGGTTAGTGTTTTAAATGCTGAAAATATTCAATCTTCGACAGTTTCTAATTCAGAATAAGAATACATTTTGGGCCAATAACGAAATGTTACATTTAGTGCGGTCTCTGGGTTGAGATTGCTGGAGTGCTCCCCACCCACCTGATCCCGAAATAATCTTATAATCTTAAAGGGGCGGTCTCTGGGTTCCTATACTCATATTTGGAAAAGTTTTGTACTCGTTATGAAAAAATAAAATTATAAGAAGTTTGACTCCATGCCACCAAAATTGAGCGAGACATTTAATTTTACAATTTGCATAATTAATAACCTAGCATTTAAAATTATAAAAAAAAACTGGATTGTTTAAATTGGAATTTGTTCACAGATTCGGATGCACTTTCTACTCTAATATTCGATTCTAGATTACAAACATGGGAAATTCATTTGCGGTGTTACAGGAATTGCCCTAAACTATTATTACATCTACATATTTATCTTTTTGTAATTATTAAATATGTAGTTAAAAACTTAATTAATACTCACTTTCTTTTCCACAATTGCAAAATACTCTGACTTCGTAATCGTTACAATCAGAGCCACTGCAGACTAGTCCCAGCTTTTTGTTGCAGATGGCACTGTCACCGGCCGGAGCCTCTTTCCAGCCAAGTGTAGTTCGGCATTCGATGTTCTCTATCTCCTCATCTACGCAGAATTGGTGATTGATCCTTAAATTTTCCAGGGTCTCGGACTCGCCTTCTTCGCCAGGCAGATGGGCATTCATCCATGCTGTCCATCCCGTCTCCTCGCAGATCGGAGGAAGTGGAGGATGGGGGGTTGTCGGTGGTAAAGTTATTTTGAGAAGCTCAGCGCCTGTTGAATAAATAAACTGATTATGAATTCCTCTATTTAACAAAGAAGTTCTAAATTATTATTTTAAAACAAAAGTGCACAACCGAGAAACTAACACTATTCACTAGCGCTTTTTGATGACAATTTCTGCTGCCCGACGAGCTTTTCACAATATTAGCTTTATTTTGGTGCCATGCAAGGTTTCTATGTATCTTGCCCCAATCCTGTTCAGAAGATGTAAATTATTTAAATATTTAAGAAGACGCATCAAATATCGGATTATAAGAATTGGAGTAATGCTAGATAGAATAGAAGGTGCCTCTCTATGACTTATCTTCTTAGAAATAGCATTTTACACACTTATATTAATTCATATTAAAGCCGCTCAGACGGAACAGTGGTTAGGGCAGCAGACTGCGATATCAAAGGGCCCGGGTTCAAATCTCAGAGAAGGTATGGTTGTAACTGTCCGACTTTTCATAGCAGGCTATGGCAACTTATTTTTAGGTACCTACACAATAAAATGGCCACCACTTCTGGTTTTAGGATTGGCCATTATCGAATAGGCAAGTGCCCGCCATTAGATAAAAAAAATTAAATTGCCCATATTTGAAGAAAATAGTTACTTAAGCAGGAAAGTCGGGGCTTGGTGTTTAGGAACTCTATGTAGATTATCTATATTGAGAGAATTAACCAAGAGCCACATCCCAGTCATCCAAACAATTTAAGTACACTACTTCCACTATTTTAGATATTTTAAACTGAATTCTTGAGCTCGCTCTGTGAGTAGCAGTAAAACGTGCACTGTGAATTCCCTTAGTTTTGTGAATTGAAAAATGTAATATAAAACAAATAAAATCCTTTAATGCGCTTTTGACTGTCAGTGTCACCGTCTATGATGTGAGCATAGGTTTGCCTTTCGTCATTTTCCCTCCTTCATTTGAAGAAGAAGGTTCTGTATAGAATATGAATATCGTGTAATGTGGTCAACATTTATAATTTAGCCATGGACAGTGTGGATATTGTCCAGTCCCACTGATTAACTAACTACATTTCACAGGGTCAATAAGGGACCCTGCCAAATGTTGCTGTGCTGCATATCTCAGTGCCTCCTTTGGACAGAAAGTTCATTATGTTTAAGATTTCCTTTGCGTGATGTTTTTTCTTGACAGTATATCTTATAAAAGGATTTATTTCTATTTCTGAGTTTGAAAGTTTTAGATGATGTTCAGCTCTGAGGGTTGTCATCCACTGATGCCCAATAATTTCCAATGATATCCATTGATGTCCATCTAAGAAAGCAGTTTTCAGAGCTGCCTGTTTTTTCACATACACTCTGATTTGATGTAGCCGACACACTGATTTAATGTAGAAGGTTCTGTACTCAAACCTTGAAACTCGCATTGAAAATTTATAAAAATCACACCTGATTCCTATTGTTTGAACTCTAATAATTGATATTCGGCGTGTTATTTTTATTTCAATTGAAACTGGGCAGTTCAAAAGAAAAGTAGAAACTCGGAAGAGTTCAGGAGTTAAAGAAATTTATTTTTTCGACATTATTTTTGATTTATCATAATTTATTTACATTTGAAGTACCGTAATTTGGTAGTTATTATAAATTAGAGTACCTTCATTTTTGAATTATCTTCATAAAAAAAATTAATTCAAGTATAAAGTAACAACTGAAATTGAACTTACCACAATCGCAAAATACTCGTATTTCATAATCTTTGCAAATTTCGTTGTTTTGTTCATCATCTCGGCATGTCAAACCTGTTGGTAAACTACAGTCGACGTTCTGCCCAGTCTCCTTGTATGGTGTTTTGCTTTCAGAGACACGACACTCTATGTTTGTCATATTGGCTATCCCGCAAAACCTGTCATACGTAGTTCTCAAAAGAGGATGCTTAAGATCTTCTCGGTCCCCGCCTATAAAGGATGGTGTGTTCATCCACGGCGTCCAGCCACCTTGCAGGCAAGCTTGGGGTTGTTCTTTGACACATGGCTCGCCAACGCAGTGGATAGATCCTCGGCGACAGTGGCTAAACAAAATTTTAAGAAACCTTACAAACATTTGCAAAAGCACAAATATACTGCAGACTTAAAAAATAAATAAAATATGGAAACGTTCCCCTATTAAAACCACTATTTGGGGGAAAAATCAAAATGTGTATCATTGTTTGAAATACGTAAAAGAATAAAACTGTTACGGCCATTCGACCGATTCTTACATACGCTTGGGCAAACGCAAAAGACAAGGACTACTGTTATGTCGTGGAGCAAAAACAATTTTACTTTACAGCTGACTGCCACTGGCTCCGACATAGCAATGTGAATACTCTACATCTAAAATTTTAAAACACCATTCCAGAATTTTAAATGTTTATTTAATAGAATTCTATTCATATATTTGCAAGTTATACACTATAAACACAATAACAAAATTTTGAACTTATCTGCACCAGCGTGATAAGCCTGGCATAATTTCTGAACCCGACGCAACTTTAGGAGGAAAAATACGCGCAAATTCAAACACAAGGTTTCATCATCCTTCCAACGCAGCTAATTTCTAAATATATTTTACTAATATCCGCAGCGGGACAGCGGATTCATTTCATTCACCCAAAACTCAAATGTTTTAACGCAATAGTATCGCAAAGGAAACATCGACTCAAAATCAAAATATCTATAGAATATCATCCGCTGTTGCCATTCCAGCACTGCCAAGTTTTTCTTCCTGCAGCTGTTGCCAGACTTATCCTCGCTGTATGTGAGAGGTACAACATCTTCCCACCCTGATTTTCTCAAAATCAGACATTGCCAAAATTTTCTAACATTACGAATAAAACAAAACAGTACTATGTATTAGTTTAGAAAACACATAAGAGAAACTCGGTTAACATACAATATATATGACAGATCATACTAAAATGAGATCAATAAAGAATCACTTCTAATTAAAGTTATTGCTAAGAAAAGAGGATATAAGTCCAAACGTCTATATTGTACATTACGTCTAAGAGCATGTCCTTGGTTTTAAGAGTCTACCATATCTAGATCTGTTTTCAGTTGCCAGAGTTAGCACAAGATCACTGGTAGTTGAAACTTCTAGTGGATACAGTTTTTTGATTGGTCTTACTAAATATCCACTGCTTATTTTTACCTGTACCACTCTGGTAGCTCCATCTCTACTACTGAATATTTTTACAATTTTGCCCATTGGCCCCATTACAACTTTTTTTTATGTCTAGTTCTATGAGGACTACATCCCCACCTTTAGGTTTGACATGAAGCGCTTGCCTTCTGCACTAGTTGAGCCAGATTATCCTTGCGGAAGCGACTTCTCAGTTCTTGTCTCAACGTATTGCAGTAATTTACACGCACATTCAGTTTCTGGGAATCGATGTAATCCAGATCTGGTACACCCACTTGCTTTATGTCTTGCAAAAACAGGGAAGGTGTCAAGGTACGAGCTCTTCCGAATCATCATAGATGTATGTTAAAGGACGGTTGTTTAATGTGGTATTCAACATCACACAGGACGGTCAGTAACTGCTCGAAATTCACCGACGATCTCCCTAGAGATTTCGCACGAGAAGAGTCTTGGTGGAACGAACTAAGCGCTCCCACCATCCCCCCCACCACGCAACCGTAGGGGGTGTGAATTTCCAGTTTATTGGAAAACACTCGCTTTCCTGTGATTTTTCTCCAATCCAGGCATCTCAGAGCATTGTCTGCTCCGGTAAAATTGGTTTCCGTTACCTGAATACACTGTCGCAGAGGACGGCCTAGTCTGGCAATGAACAGTCTCAGAGCCTGTAGAAACGTTTCGGTACTCAGAGAGGTGACAGGCTCCAGGTGAATTACCCGGTATAACGGCGCCAGGTGAACAAACGATCCAAGCTTTACTCTTTGGTCTCAGAAGTAAAGGTCCACAAAGATTGACTCCAGTTGTTTCAAAGACTGCCGAATCTCTTATTCTGTCAAGGGGTAACTGGATCGGAGGGGTAGATAAAGCCTTAGCGGTAAATCTCCTACATACTACACATCGACTTACGCAAGATCTTATCAGGTTCAATGTTTCTCCTTACTTGCTTGGGGAACATTCAATGACCTGACTCGGAACAGGGAGCTTACTAAAGCTATGTTCAATAAATGTGGGAAGTAGACAAGATACACAGGAAGGGTATACAAAACCCTTTATTTTTCTCTCTTTTACAATGATTTCCGGACTTCGGAATACAGAGACCAACCACTTGTGGTCTGAACGTAAAAATATAAAAATATTAACTAAATTCTAACTAAACTAACTTTGAATTAATAAACAAATGTCTACTCGAAGATTGGACGTATATTAACAGAAAGGCCGTATGTAGTACAGAGAACTGTTAACACTACGATACGTTTAAAATTATCAAGAGGATTAAACCTCTGGCCTAGAAGGCAATCAGCAACCGAGTAAAACTGCTAAGGCAAGCGGCCCGCTTCTACTAACTCCTTCCTCTCTCTCTCGCTTGGCAAAAAGCCACAACTTAAGTACTTGGCGTTCGCAAGACAAATTTGCATAAATAAGTTAAAGCTTTTAATTCTGGCCGGAAGTAGAAAATAAGAAGTGATAGTAAAGATTTAAAATAAAATAAACGTTAGTAAAACTTCAGATCCTTACATACTTCCCGCCAGAGTTAATTAGTTTGAAACTGAGGTCTAAATCAACCTTGTTGAAAGCTTTTAGCTCTAGAATCTAACGCGAGGCCAATCTTTTACAAACATTTCTCACTAGAAATTAGAAATTTTAAAAAAAATTCTTTTTTACATTATCAATTCCATGGACAATTACATTTCATCTGTACTGCATCTAAACAGGAGTTTCTAGTTGAAATCTGGTTCCTTCCAGAGATCTGAAAGGAAAACTAGTTTAATGAAATGTTACACAATAAATGGCAAGTAACATAATATTTATATTTCTCTTAACATTCTTATTTCATTCATGACTTTTTTAATTATCTCTCCCCGTGCTCTCTGACATGTGTTGTAAAAGAAAACACCAAACACGAATGTGTTTTTATGTACAGTGTTCAACACTACCTCCGCCTACAATCAAAACACTAACGTGTTAAAATTCAACATAACAAGACCTCATAACACACCCTATTATATTCAATCTCTAAACCCTGAGGTACTATTCTGAAAGTGGCTAACTCTGAAGTGTAGCGTCAGAGAGCCTAACTACATTCATTCAACCTTTAACACTATTCACAATAATTTTCTTTTTACAGTCACACGAATAAGTTAAAATTTTTGGCATTACTTCACTTTTAACCATATCACAGTATTTCTTAACATTTAAAATAACAGTTCACATTGTATATAAGAACATATTAACATGCCGTTAATTTTACGCATTTGAAAACATACATTAGTAGTACATTGTTAACTTCTATTCTTTTCCAAGCAAGTGCCAATTCTTCTACATTGAAACACTACATTTCAAAAGTCTTTCAGACTAAAACTTCTTTCTTGCCAGAATCTTTTAAATAAATTTATACAATAACTTTTACAATATTTAAGTCTTTACACACATTCCTATTATACATCAACTTTAGTTTTACGCGCGAGTAATTGAAAAACATAATACCAAAATCGGTAAACAACTCATTTCTCGCCTTTTGGCGATAAAGGTAGACCTCGCATGAGGTAAAACTTCTTGAAATTCTGCCACTTGCAGTAAGAATGAAAGATTAACTTAAGTTTGCAAAGTAACATAAAACTTTTACTTATCTTTGTGATATTCGGACATTCTTTTCACTTGCCCAGTCCTGGAAGGTAGCGAAGATTCGTGTTTGATTTATCCTCCCTTCTTGTGCGGGCTCGCCCTTCAGTTCCTTCCTCTAGGAAGCTTTCTTTTCCCTCCAGTTCGGTCACCCTTGAAGACCTTCTTTTTCGCCTCTGCCTGTGGTCTTGGCCGTTTGATGGCCAGCTGGTCATGGCGGAACCGGGACACTTCTCTCTCGTTCCTGCTTGGATCTCGTTGCTGGCCGTTCAAATTTTCCTTGTATCTTTTCCTCCGCCGCTGGTGGCCCTTCCGCAGTTCGGCGACATTTGCTGCGGAGAGTCCTGTCGGATGAGTAGATCTTCCGTTTGGGAGCCGGGTTATAGTTGCCGTATTTCTCCTGGCTCTCTTTGCATTCGTCGTCCTTCTCCCTTCTTCATTCTGGGGGTGGTCGTGCGCTCGCTTTTCTTTTGGTCGGTGGAACGGCTTCTTTTTCTTGTTACCTTCAATTTTCCAACGGGGAAACTTTCTTTTCAACTTGCTCCTGTCTCCTAATGGCTTGCCCTGTGATTGTCGTTGTTCCACCTCTGGAGCTTGTGCCTGCAGTGCCTGCCGTGCCGGATCCTGCAAAAGATCTTTAAATATTTTGCATTTTTATTACGATCATAGTAATGGTTTTATTGGTCAATGTTTGCGGAGCAGGTTTCACCATTCCTGGCTTTTAACACCACTACAGCGTGAGTTATTTTTTCTATGACATATGGTCCTTCAAATCGTGGAAAAAATTTGGCGTTTTATCTTCTGGTGCTGAAGAAAGTGAATGCTTAATTTTTAATACTTCATCTCCCTACTTTATAAGTTACTCCCCGTCGTTTCAAATCATAATAAAGCTTTTGTTTTCTCTGTGCTACTTCAGTATTCTTTTTTTGCTTCTTTAATTAATTTTTCTATATCACCCATTTTAAATTCTGGGGCTCTTTGTTGCACATAAAATAATTTATCTAACGGTGTTATAATCTTTCTGCCTAAAATAACTCAGCAGGAGTTTTGCCCGTTGTATCATGTTTTGCGGTCCTAAGGGCGAAAGCAAATTCATTGACATAGTTATCCCAGCTTTTATGAAAATTTTTAACATAACTACGGATAATTTTCACTATATTTCTATTGACCCGTTCCGCTATATTTGATTGCGGCCGATACGGGACCATTTTTAAATGACGTATGCCCAGTTTTTGGCACATGTCTTCAAATATATTACTTACAAATTGAGGA